AGGGAAAAGACATAATAATAAAAGTCAGGAGACAGGAGACAATAATCATAATATATATTTCCATTATAGATCTCAAGGTAGGTATATGTACAGTCTGTCTGAAGTTCGACAGGTCCCTGTAACCTCTGCCCAAATGTATCTCGAGCGTCAAACCGGAAAACTGCTCCGCGGAAGAAGACTACATCCGTGCCACATAGGAAAAGAGAAAGAGCGGCGAATCGGCGCTGGGGACTAGGTTCTAAGAAGGCCCCGGTCTTTCCCTCTCAATGCTGTCCTTGCAGAGCTCAGCTGGGCCAAGTATAAACCTCGTGTTGGCGGCGCATATAACACCAGAAAAGAACTCCGTAAGCCCCGGGATCAGATGTATGTGAATATCGTGAGCAAGCCGCAATAACGCCGTTAAATGCACCTCAATGAAACCCCAATTAACCCAATAGCAAGAGCGAACATTTCAAGAACGATGTTCTAAACCATGAAGGATTCGCCGCATCCGCATTGCTCCTCTGTAGCTTCACGTTAGACAAACTGCATCGTGGCAAAGATGTATTCAAATGATGGGGGCTTACTAATATTGGGATTTCGGAAGACAAACTTTCGGCTCAGCTTGTCCTCCTGCCAATCCATTTCGCTACCAATTATGCTGAACAGAGCCTTGCTGTCAATTAAAACTTTCACTCCGTCTTGTTCAACAACTTCATCGAAAGCTCCAGGCTTTTCAACATATTCAAGGTGGTAGGCGAGCCCAGAACATCCCCGATTCTTGACACCCACCCGAATAAATTTGGGGTCTGGCTGTGACAGAAGCTTTCGAAGTTGCTCAACTGCGAGCGGCGTCAACTTCATGGCCGCCTTTCTTGCCCGTAATTTTCTTCGGGGCTTTTCCGTGTGTGTCGAGCTTGCGGGGGGTGCGGTTGTAACAGGTTTCGACTTCTGAGCTTCACCTTCTCGTAGGCTCACATGCGAATAGCCTCCACTCTGTTCTTGTTTTTGCGTCATCGTGTTAGGAGTTGGCGGAAATTCTGCAGCGATAGACGTGTCTGGGGTGCCGGCGTTTCGGGACGGAGGAGGGAAAACAGATGGTAAGGTGTGGGGTCGGTAGGCAGTAGCGGTTTGCATATCACGCTTCGATGACCGGTATGTATTCCCAAACGAGGAGAAACTCCTGAGCGCTTGCGCGCATGGTGTATTGAATGGTCTGCTCGCGCATCTCAACATCGTGGCGGATGATGTCACTGAAGAGTGCATAGTAACCCTGTACAACGACATGATAGAATCAAATCTATGTGTATAAGGGAGAAAACTGCAATCTATAATAATGAGAAATAGGAGGTAGATGCCTTCGTATCTGCGATGGATTTGCTGCTTGCAGGGGAGGGTAATTGTCGTCAAATATGGAGAAATGGGTAACTTTGGGAGAGGAGATTCTGTTTTGTAGGCGGAAGAGAGTCGGCGGTTCGGCAAAGAGTTCAATGAGTAATGAGTCACCAGCCAATCAGCATTGAGGTGTTTCTACGCATCCCGCCCTTGCAAATGTCATTCAGACTTCACTCTGGAGGTGGCGCCACTCCAAATCATGTGATGGCAGTCGAGTCTCTTATGTAGTATAACCCTCATATCATTCTTGATTGCTCTTCAATGTTGAGGAGATCAAGGGTAAATTGGCTTGTTCAATAGGATTGTTATCAACTGATCTACATCATGCCCAGTTTGAGATTCCCTATCTCTCTATCAATGCTTCCCTATTATGTGAAGGTCCTTAAATAACTGAAGTCATACAAATAACAAGGATCTGGGTTCTTTTTTTTTGACAGCATTAATATTTCAAAATTCATCGAAATAGAGTAACTCCTGCTTCTACAAGATCATTAAGAGGTAAAGCATCTGATATTCAAAGGCTGGTTTTGTTGACTCTCCTCAATAAGGAAAGTCAATGAAATGTGGCTTATTGCTGACAACGCGAGTGCTTATGTGGCTAGTGCGTTCTGGCCCAAAGAGGCAGAAATGGCTGGAGACAACTATTATTATGCCTCGACACTTGTACTTATGATACATTGGATATTTTTATATTCGGAATCTTTCCATCATCATTTGTATTGCCGTTCCTAAGTTGTACTGATTCCCCAATATTGCTGCCATGGTTCTACACTCTTTGGAGTCTCGTGTATAACATCATGGAATCCCCCTTAACACAGCAAAGTAGACCGGAGACTTTCAAGCCTAAAATTGTGCAACTATACGAAAATCTCTTTCAAGTATGTGATTCATTTACAATTCTTCTGCATGTCATGCTAAATTATTTTACCCAAGACTTCAGATCTTGCAGAGCCATCCGAAGGTTTCTGGCGAGAGTTCTTTTTGTTGCCGCCTGATCGAGCCCAGCTTGCATTAATTCTAGATAGACTCGGTCCAGAAGATACTCTTCACTTACAGGTATTTCGTCAACCCTATAAGAAATTCCAGCTTGATATTGCTTGCTGACTCTGTACCAGGCTCAAACCCAGCAGCTATTTGCGCGTGCAGTAAAGGAGGCCAACTCTAGAGTTAGCCCAGTGAACGCTTATGCGTTAGAGGTGAGCTTTCAGATGGGGGAAGTTACACTCCAAGCTCTAATGCCTCAGCCAGACCTTGACAGTCTTCTTAGCATGCGTGCTGAAGAAGAAGTATACCAACCCCAGCTCTGATGTTATCACTGTCCTTGCCGGGCTTGATGAGGTTGACCATGTTATCTCCAACCTTGTCGCCGTTTTAGATAGTATCATTCGCAATGGGAGCAGCTGTGAGTGCCCAATCAGGAGATGGTTGCCTAAGTTGACCAGATTATGGCCGCTAATGAGTGTGCAGTTGATATTCGGATTAAAGCCATCCGGGTAGCCATTGCTCTTACCAGCGGCGCATATAAGACGAGTCTCGTTTCCTACTTTACTCATAAGGATCTGTTCCCCTCCCTCATGAAGGTATGACTGTGCTAAGCCGTAGTTGCTCTGCTTTCTTGGATTCGAGAGTTTCTGCTGACACACTCTGAAGTTTGTGCACGAATCTGATACCCCTATTCAAATATTTGAGCCGTTCCTCCTTCTCGGACTATTAGCGAACTACAACAAGTTCGAGTTTCAGAACCCATATCAATTACGCCTCGACGATTTTGTCAACGAGTTGAGCATTCAAAAGATCGTCAAAGGTGTCGGTCTTTCGTGCGCTGCCCTGAGGAACGGCTATATTGCTGTACAAGACGATGCACCTGAGGGCTGGACACTCAGCAGCACCCTGGTCTTCTTTGGACTCGGAAGACTTGCTCCAGGCGCGAGGAATAAACCACAGGCGCTAACGGTGGAGGAAGCGAAGGAGATGTTTGCAACTCTGTAAGATCGCTTTGGGTCCTCCTCGGTTTACATTTTCCCCGTTGGCTAACAGGAATCAGGCCGGCTCAGGAAGCAGCCATTCTTCTAGCAACTTATGACTTTGCAAATGCAAATAAGCTCTTTGGATATCACCTCATTAACTCCGTGTCAGAGAAAGAGAGCGAGGAATCTCCATTTGCCAGCTTTCTCTCTGTTACGAGCTACCTGTTGCAGCACGCTTACAGATCCCCTCGGGTTGCACACTATGCGGAACTCAACCTCTTCACTCTTCGCATCCTTTCTGAAGACTCATCCTTGTGTAAACAGCTTTGCAGTGACGGGGAGAAAAGGCAAGTGCGCCTTTGCCGGCAAAGGCAGCCGTATCTTCCGCTCGTCATCGGGGACAGGGTTCTGGCAACAGTTATTTTCGACATTATGATTGATACAATTTCCCATAATCTCCGGCGGCGCCTTGATGCCAACATCTACAGGTAAATTCTCTGTTTTCTTCGTTTTACCTAACAGGACGCTTGGGACTAATCTCCACCCGTCATTCAAGTCATTCAATCGCTATCCTTCTTCGGCTCCTAACCTACCTATCAATGAACAAAATCCGTTTGACATACCACTGGTCGGAGCTCTGGAGGACTCTGCTCTCCCTGATGCGGTTCCTCACTACGTACGCGTCGGACCTGTCAAATTCTCCCAACATCGCCACTCTCACCACCTCCCTTGTAGACCTGGTGGCATTCTGCGTCTCCGCAGGGGACACCTTTCTCCCAGACCCGGCATCTTACGACGACTTGTTCTACAAACTCGTCGAAACAGGTCCCATCATCACCCGATTTCGCGACGTCTACTCCCTCAAGCCCCCAACTCCTTCTGCCTCGAAGATTCCCGACCCCACCACCGTCGCCAGCAAGGACATCCACGTCGCCGCCGTCGACACCCTGATCTCCGTCTCGACCCACTTCTACACTTTGCTTTTTGACCCAGACAAGAACGTCGACGCGAGCTTGAAACCTGGTGGCGAAGTGTCGAACCCTGTACCGATCCCGGCTAACCGGAAGAAGCATCTTTCGCCTCGGGAAGTTCACAGGATCATCAAGCAGGGCTACGACACGTTGAGTATTCAGCCGCCCGAGGGGTTGAGTGCGTGGACGAGATGGCGTGAGGCGGACTGGAAGACGGAGTTGAAGCGGGTGGCCAGATGCGCCGTGGAGGATGCCCGGCAATTGGTTGCGTAAAAATTCCTTCTGTTGAACCTCAGCGCAAGAGCATGCTTGCGATGCCCCGAAAGAGGCCTATATGGTTGTAAATTACAGTTTTGTGGGTTGTTCATCTTTGAACTATGTCATCCTGTATAGCTATAGGACCAGAAACGATGAATGAGAACTGGGTCCTGACTTGTATGCCTAGGACGCCAGAATGCATATTGTGATGAAGCAGTGTCTTCTCGAGAATATGAAATCTGGCCAATTCTAGATCTAATAATACAAGTTCAAACGTGGTAAACCATGAGGCGCATAGCTGATTGCTAGCCTTCGCTGCAGATGAGCAGCACATTAACCAAACACAACGCAAAGAAAGATCGACAACAGGTGCATGTTATCCGTATACGAAGAAAATATCTCAGCGATGACCCCAGCCAACCCATCATTCTCAGACGAGCCGCGTCGTGGCAGCTACAGCTGCCGAACTAGGGTTACCTCTTGACTTTTCCACGTACTCATTTGTTGCAGTCATGTACCTCGTGGCGAAATACTTGTCTGAGTTCTTGCTGAGCCAGAGCGTGAATTTTGACAGCTCTTCCCGGAGTCTGTTGGTGGACTGGAGATCCATGTTTGTCTGCGCAATGAGCTCCGGCATGGTTGCTGGACGAATAAATAAGTAAGTAGGCTTCTGAAGGCCAAACGATGGAGAAGCATACCAAAAAGTCTCGTCAAATGCTCGGCCCCGTAGATATCGAGGGGCCCCTTCTCGGAATATTCACCAGATCCCGCCTCCCATTTCTTGCGGAGGGCTTTGTACTGCTCGCGCTCGAATCGGTAGAGCAGAATCTTGTCAAGGGCTTTGTCAAAATACTCCTTGATACCCATGATTACTTCTTCGAGGACATCCAGGTCAGCCGCGCTCGTACGCTTGGGCTTCTCTTCCACGGTGAAATCTTCCAAAATCTGGTTGACTGATGCTTTGGCCGGCAAAGCAACAACCTGCTGATTTTTCGTCACATTTTCCCAGTCATCTACGAGGAGAGATTTCAAATTGTCCGGCATTACAATCCGCACGGATGGTCGTGTATAGAAATGTTCTTCCTGTAGCCATATCGTGAGTATCGTGTGCACAGAGCAGCGAGACTTGCAATATCCCTCAAAGACATAGCGGGCATGTCCCAGCAGTCCGCATGGTGGAGAGACTTTGCTTACCTTTTCAATTTCATTGTCTCTGGCCCTCTTGGTCGCGCGACCAGGAACTGATGTTTGTCGCTCCTCGCTGTCCCGGGCGGAGCCGCGGTCGGAGCCTGCTTTTCTCTTCAACGTAGTCTTTGTGCTCTTCTGGCGAAAAGCAGCCTCTGCCTCACGACGGAGCGTAGTAGCGAGCTCCCTATTTTCATCCGTGAATTTCCGGAGCCGATCTTGAGGCACCCAGTCGTCCCATCTGCGTGGAATAAGTCAGCTACAGCCATTCAACGTACCAAATCTTGCGATTCGGGAGTTCCATCAATGTACTCAAACAGGTGCATTCTAGCACCTTAATCAAGACAGAGTTCGCTCAAGGCACGCGGTAAGATCGCGAATCTGAGGTCAACAGAGCAGCATGGTTGTAGGAGACCGCCACCCGCAACAAAAGAAAGCCAAAAAAGGATCGTACTTACGTGTTCTTCCAACCCTTGTAGTGAACTAGGTACTCGAACGGACTTTTCTTGTCCTCAGCATCGGTGTGCCTAACGTCGAGGATTTTTGCCTCGTATAGAATCTCATGATGAAAGCAAAGGACTCTTTCGTCTTTTTGGTAAGTAGATTGGCTTGCTGGCGCCATTTTGAATGTGGCGAGATTGATGATGTATGATAAAAGGTTGTCTGCTCCGGAAGAACAAGAGGAGGATGACTTGGTAGTATTGCTTTAGCCACCAACACGGGCTTCCCAGAAGGATGAGAATGATGAAACACCAAGGAGTATGTTGCTGGCAATGCAGCCTAAATAAGGCTTTTTGAGTCCGCAGAAGCACGTGCAACACAACCAGGGATATCAGCAAATACTGGACGCAGTAATTGTGTCAATGAGAGGCGGACAAATGCAATAGACTTGATCTTCGTAGAAGAATGATTGGAATCACGATACGAAGATATCAGCTTCGTACATCAAATAGTTCCCCGCGTTATACGCGAAGGTTTCAATGCCCACGGAAGCCAGATGCAGAAAGTGGAACACCTCCTCGGGAGACGCGACAGGGTCAGATCAAGCAAGTATTCGATTGTTGACCGCTGTGAAGAAGGTAGATGCTTCTGACCGATTCGTGGTTGAGATCTCGATGACAGTTTGAAGGAATACAGAGAGGCGTCGGGGTGGAAGGTAAGAATGAAGCGGAACCCAAAAATGGACGGACTTTTTAGAGTTGCGCGCGTCTACCTTTCTGTCCGGCGTTCGTTTTCTCTTGAACAACCATGCTTTAAGGTAATTGTTGATTGTTGCACAATAGTCAGCAACCTCTTTATGAATTCTTCATAAGTTTTCATCTCCTTGAGTCTCTGTATTTATCTACCAAGCGTTATTCAGAAATTTCCTCATCAATCTGAAGACGCGTCTTGGCTTCAACATCCCTAATCGCCAAGCGTCCTGTTGTGTTGGAGTCAGAAACCAACACAAAAGACAGGAATATAATTGTCGAAGACTAGCAAAACAGACCATACGAGTCTGAATATATTTCCCGCCCTAAATACGGAAAGGAAAGAAGAGAAGCCTCATTGACACTATTACTGGTCTCCCATCACTTCAGTATGGCACCGTCTGAGGCATCCATTCTGAGCAATTTTCTACTTTCGCCTGCTTCATTGCCAACCATCATTTCGTTGCAACAATTCACTGAACTTTTTCCGAAGAAATTGCGGGCTCATCCGCATATCAGAGTGCTTTACCGGGAGCTCCAACAATTGCGAGAGCAAGACATGGACACCGTCAATGAGAATATTGATAAGGAAGTCCGTCAAGGAGAGACCCAAAAAGCCGAACTTCGAAAAGCAATCATGAAGACAGGCGTTGACGGCATGGAGGAGAACGACTGCCGGGAGATGGACATGGATGTCCAGCTCTTTGGTCAGGGGATTAATGCTGCTTCCAGTGATTACCACTCCATTTCCAGTCTTTTGTCCGCAATGGAGACCGCATGCTCAAATATCGAGCATGAGATTTCTCAAGTGGACCAAGATGCAGCAACTGTCTTGTCCGGACTCAGCGCTACAGTTGGCGAGCTGAGTGATTTGCGTTACGGCAAAATGCAAGGGCCTGCAGGGTCATCTGGGGAAGAGATGGTAAAGGAGGCTATAGATGGTCTCGAGCATCTCGAGCAAGTCTGCTATCGTAAGGTATCGCAGTGAATGCTGCTACGAGCATTCATTTTCTATAACGGAGCGCTCCATCCCTTCTCCCGCCGTAGTAACTCCTGGGATACAAAATTTTCGAAGACCGCAGCATGCTAAACATCGCACAAACTACACGATGGACTAAACATATTGCCGCCCTCCGGAGACTACCGGTATACCTTCGACGATTCCGGTGTTCTTCTGAGGATGACCTTCGCACATCATCCACAGGAGGTTCTCAATACTTTCTTGCGCCCCCTTCGTTCGGGGAACTGATCAACATTCAGAATTTGAACGGCCTTTCTTCGTCAAGTAGTCCGACATCTGATCAAGAAAAGAGAAAATCTTTCACAGTCAATGAAGTGCACTCAAATTTCAGGACCACTTAATACACAAAGAATTCAAAGAGAATCGTGCGGTCGCCGCATCCACGTATCTCGTCCTCATAAAAATTGCCGCGTTACAGAATCGTCTGTCCATTCAGGGCCGGTCTAGAATTCATCAACATTGATCTCCTCGAGCAAGGCCTGACCCACGAAGAAAGCCATCTCATCTTCGGTATCTGGCGCGCCCGCGATGTGTCCTAGACTGGGCATTCCAAAAGTATCAAACGGGTACGGCGTTATTGGGGCTCTTTTTCTCCAATTGACTGTCTCGTTGCCTGGTAGCCTCGGCAGAGGGGGGAAACGGGAATATCCAGACATACTTCTCATGGTACCGTCGCGCGTGAGCTCGTCGCTGCAGGGCCAGGGAGCGACAGGCCGTTCAAGATGGAAGCTCGTAGAAGGCAGCCATATCGTCTCCATTGCCAGCACGGAAGATCGAGTGTCTCTGAACGTCCTGCCACCGAAGGGCTGAATTGAGGTTTTCGCCTGGCTGAGTTGTTGTGAAGCTCTAAGTGTGCGGCGTCGAGATTCTGCCTCCTGGGTTTTTTGATTGATGAGCACCCGATGTTCAAGCCATTCGCAGTAGGCTTCAGGGACATTTGGCGACTCGGGCGCGGTAAACAGAGTGTCTTTCAAAATTTTCGCGAATCTGTCAGATTCCTTGATTATGTCTGAGATCCATGTCTTGGAAGAAGTGTACCACATGTTTGCAATTGTATGTGTCTGACCAGTGTAGCCTTCGTCCTTGTTCGATTGTTAGCCTACTTGCTGTCAGTCACATAGCAGGGTTTTTGTCGTACCTCCTTAGGAAGCTCTAACAGCTTGATACTGGAGTACTTTGAATTAAGATCGCTCGCCTCTGGTAAGGAAAGGTCAGTTATATCCTTGTGCAGAGTTACGGAACGTGTCTGGACTCTCTTAGCAGTCTCAGCTTGCTCAACAGAGAAGGAATCAAGACGATCGACAGATACAGACCTCTCATTTCTTGAACTTACATACGAGTCTCGGTCGATCACATCGGAGAGAACCGTTTCCCTCCTTTACATGGCGCAGATGTTTTCCGAATGACAAATATGTTTGTGTTGTCGGTGTAGAAAAGCACCTGAGAAAGGCGATATGGCAAGATGCAGAAGGACCATCATAGAAGATTCTGTTTTATAGACAGCCTAACAATCAATACCTTGTACAGCGCTAGTGAGTTCGTGAATGTGTTGGTCCATCATCCGTCACTGGTTACGCTAGTTCACGGAAATTTGAAGGTATTGTCTAGCAGGCATTCAGTGTTCATTCACGTCACACCTTATTATTTACGATGTGCCCTCGTTGAGTAGCTCTATATGGCAGTCAGGAATGTCTCTCTGTATCTATGTCCTTAAGAAACAACAAACTAAGGAGTGGCAGGCCTGATGTACTTCAACTTGGGCCATGTACAGCACTTACTTCTGTTGTTTCTCTGATGAAACCTGGAAACCTTAAATTCTGGTGCTTCTACCAGTTTGTACTGATCAATGCAGCTAATTGGGAAACAAGATATCTTAACATTCGAAAACATAATAGATCGGCTATGTGCAGTGATAGAGGACACTATATACCTCCATGCAATAAGCATATTGTGGATATTATATCTGCTTATCGATAAGCGATAAGGCGAGTTGAATCTGAGCAACGCGCTATTACCTCCCCCCAGGTCTACAAGACCTATACATCATTTGCCTATTGTATATTGTGTCAAAGCCTAAAAGCCAAAACATTCCCAGGAAATTTCTTTAGGGTTGAATATAATCCCCAAGAACCACCAGAGAACCTCTCAAGCCAAAATGCCGTCAATACCCCTCCATCCTCACGCGTCGAGCTCTCCCTCTCAACCCCACAATCCACTCCCCCATATCTTACAAACGCCTTCGGGTCTGGCAATCCTCGAACTACAAGGCACAATTAACCTCCCATCTCTCGACGATCAGGGAGCGGTTCCTCGCCCCGCCGACGCCAAAGATCCCGACGCTGCCATAACCGCGTTCGAGACACCAATTGGCAGACTCTTGTTCCCTGACTACTCGCCGCAAACCACCTCACCGGACGACACGAAATGGATGAAGCGAGTCTATCTATACGTTGGCAGGTATCAGCGGATGACGGGGGAAGTGAAGAAACTGGCGCAGCCGCTCGCATTGGTGCAGAAGCGTAAGACGCGTCCCGACGACGACAGGACCGCCGAGTCCGAGGGCGAGGAATTGGAGATCGTGGAGATCATCAAGTACAAGTTGCTGTTCAAGAATCGGCCGGAGCCAGTCAATGATAGTTGATGGGGTGTGCTGGAGTGGTGCAAATATGAATGTGATACAGATGCCAGTGTTCGAGAGTTACGACGGACACTAGTTCTATCCCAGGAGAACCTAGAAGCGTCGGGACATCTTGTCGCTATGACCTACAGAATGGCCCTGGAGATCAGGGGCTTCGATACAGAGGCGCGGATGTCGCGGGTGTCTTACTCGAGACCGGGAGCAGGTGATATAGAGTCTCACTGACTTCTGCCTCCTAGTTTTGAGGCAATACCGGCTCCCAACGGCCAGCGTCAGAAATGAGAAGGCCAATTTGCTTCAAAAAGAACAATTTCTCCTTTAGTGAAGCCAGCGAGTAGAAGTTTGTCCTACAGAAGCTGATCAATATGCCATGACATTAATTGTACCAGTGTAGCAATGAATAAATCTGACCTAGGATGCATTCTCCAGGTTTCAGTCATACAACGTCAGGCCTAAAATGAGACCAAAACCGTTAAAGAAGCGTCGCACTATTTAAGCGTGAGCCAAGTCTGGTTGGCTGGCTGGTTGCAGGGATCCCGGAACACTGAAAGTTTATTAACAATTTGTGACGAAGGGCCGGGACGGGATCGGGTCGGTGAAGTGATAGATCTAAAGATAATAACACCTCAACTGCCAATAATGATTATGAGAAGATGTGAAATCTTCACCCCTCCATTCTCTTTCCCTGTGCTACTCCCAAGGCAAACAAATTCGAATCCCCCATGTCACCAAAACCATGACAGTCTCAAATAACATCGAGGAGAACATCTTCGCTTCCAATCTAGGCCCGGAATATGTGGGATTTGACCACATTACGTGGTATGTGGGCAATGCGAAACAAGCAGCTTCTTACTACGTGACCCGGATGGGATTCAAGCATATCGCTTATCGCGGTCCCGAAACTGGTTCTAGAAGCGTCATATCGCACGTCGTCTCCAACGGCCAAGCTATCTTCGTTCTCACGTCTCCCATCCGTTCCTTGTCAGAAACAGGCGAATATGATGATGATGTTACCGAGGCAGATCGGAGATTGTTGGAGGAAATTCACAGTCATCTGAACAAGCACGGTGACGGCGTCAAGGATGTTGCATTCCGGATCGAGGGCGATATCAAAGCTGTCTGGAAAAGAGCGGTAGATCACGGAGCTGCTCCAGTTGCGGCCCCGACAACTTTGAAGGATGACCAGCATGGTTCAATCACCCTGGCCACGATCGGTACCTATGAGGATACAGTGCATTCGCTGATCAATCGTCACCACTACTCCGGCCCCTTTCTACCAGGCTATGAAGCTGTAACAGACGACGATCCCATCAATCGGTTGCTACCATCGATCGACTTCATTGAGATAGATCATTGCGTTGGCAACCAGCCGTGGAACGGTGTCGATCCAATTGTCAAGTAGTACGTATAGCTGCTGTTCCGTGCTGTCTTAAGAGTGAAGGTTGCTAACTGCCGTCATCTCAGCTACGAGGACTGTCTTAACTTCCATCGGTACTGGACCATAGATGACTTAAACATGTGCGGAGAATATTCCGCCATGCGGTCGATCGTCGTTGCTTCACCTAACGAAGTGATTAAGATGCCCATGAATGAGCCCGCTCAGGGTAAAAAGAAGTCACAGATCGAGGAGTAGGTCATTGCTGCACCGCCTGGTAAACAAGTGTTTGAGCTGACCAACGGACAGGTTCGTGAACTACTATAACGGCGCTGGCGTCCAACACATTGCTTTCCGAACAAACGACATCGTCACAGCTGTCACTCGACTCAGAGAAAGAGGCGTATCCTTCCTCGAAGTTCCCAGCGCATACTACTCGGACCTGCGTCAGCGACTGTCACACACCGGGCTGACACTCGAGGAGGATATTGCCGTTCTAGAAAAGCTTCATATTCTGGTGGACTTTGACGAGAAGGGATACTTACTTCAAATCTTTTCCAAACATGTGCTCGATCGACCCACGGTGTTCATCGAAGTCATCCAGCGCAACAATTTTGACGGCTTTGGTGCTGGAAATTTCAAGAGTCTGTTCGAGGCTTTTGAACGCGAGCAAGCACGACGGGGCAATCTTTAGACTAATTCCTTGATATCCGACGGCCCAGGTCTCTGTAGACTAGACTAGCTTAGATCAACATCCGCCGTCACGGCAAGAGACTGAATTAATGGATACTCCACTCCATCCATCGTTGATCTGAATATTTCTAAGCCATCCATCGTTGCTGGAATCCGCGGCTAAATCATCTCACTCTCCTTTACTCTTCTTACCGTTGTCATATCCACCTCATTTTCTTACGGATCGCTCGCTTGGCCATATCAAAGGATGTAGTAATCGCTTCCAAGGCCATGAAGTCGTGCGTTAATAAGAAACTGTAGGAGTGCAGGCATGGTATGCCTTCTCCATCTGCGAAGCTGAAGGATCAAAGACCTCATTTGATCGAAGGACCACCTCGAGCCTCTCAGAGCTCCCACCACTAGCGTCCAACCGGCATACCTCCAATATGGCGGTCACAAGCATCCTTTCATCATTGAGCAGTGTCCACCATCCCAATAGGTGTAAAGAGCACTTCACAGCTGATACCCTCTATTCACGCAGTTCACTGTATAGTATCTGATAGGTTGGAGACCGCATATATGCGTTAACTATCTCACTACTCTGAATTGAAAACAAAGTCCGACTACCTCCGAAGTCAGGAACGATGACCAATACGCAGATGAAGGCTGAGTGGAAAAAGAGCGAGCGCACTTGTGGTAACTCACTTAGCCGAAGCTCATCAGAGAACAAGGCGGAATATGGCGCTTGCAACGGAGGATTTCCGCGCTTCCTCTTCATCAGCGCAACAGTCTACTCAAAGGTGTACAACTATGAACATACAGATCAGATGTGCGAAATGGTAGACGACGACGACGGACGACACCTCTCGTAGTATTCAACGTCCTAGGACTCTGTAGTTTTAGACAAGGATTGCAGAGTACTTTAAGTGGCTGTTGAACCGAGGGTAGATACTACTCCACACATCCGTCGGAAGAGCTCCCTCATCGGCAGTCGGGCCTGTACTACACAGTACCTGCATAATAAATCAGAGCCAATTCTCAGAAGCATGTAGACAAAGACTCCAAGAACAATCATAGCGATCATTAGGAAACCCGGAAGTCCACACATACCCCACATCGCGGGGATTCCCCATATAAATAGCCGATGATATCCATCCGGTAGCGGAAAGAGGGTGTGGCTCGAGCCTATTTGAATCAACCCTCTCCTCCTCTCTATTTCCATCTCAAGTACGTTAGCCTATCTTGAGAGATCCCCTCTTATAAGTATATACGCCCGCGGAGAATACGCGCCCCGAGTCTCGAAAATGGCCCCCATCGAACGCATCACTCTTTTCAACGTCCCCAAGGCGGAAGACCGTGCCCGCATCTTGGAGCAGTACAAGGTTCTTGCGAAAACCGCTGTGAAGGTTTGTTTCTTCCGGCTCTGAAGCTGGATGGTTACTAACAGGAGCCTGCGAACAGGATGGGAAACCGTATATTCTCGGCGCGGCGGCTGGCGAGTCGTTCCCGGATCCTCGTAACAAGGGATTCAATATCTCTGTGAAGACGACCTTTGCCTCGATGGAGGACATGGAGTACTATGATAATGAGTGTGAGGCGCACAAGGCGCTGAAGGCTGTGGCGGGGCCAGCGAAGGAAGATGTTCTTACGACTTATTTCGAGAGTGTTCTGTGATTAACTCAATCTTGTTTAATTCTCTTGAAGACTTATGGTGAAATGATTACGGGAATAGAGGACCGGTCATGCTTGTATAGAAAATCTAGGCGGAATGCCGAGTTCATGCACATATTTGGATAATCTCTATTCGATGATATACATGGCATACATCAAGTATGCTCTTTGCCATAATCGCAAACCCAGCACTCTCCGGGCCGGCCTGGGAATAGTATCCAGTCAACACGACGAAGATTATTGCTTCAGCATAAACGCGGCAAACTGAGACCCAGTAATAGCAATTGTGTCCTTCGCAAGCGGCCTCGCATTATCTCGTCGAAGCTGTCGAGGACAGGTGCCTGTAGTCTTCCCTTCCCAGTAATCACAGGCCGAGGGGACGAAAGTCGTAGGGAGACCACAATGAAACAACATTTTCTACGCGTCGACATCCATGTAATTGCACATTGGAGCTCCCGTAGACATGAAGTATAGGCTGGTCATGACCGGCGATAGGCGTCAGAAGTGTACATAGAAACTGCCAGTGCCACAATGGCTCCGTATAGCGGTTTGGCAAAATCGAGTTCGGAAGATACTGCTGAACATGGTAGAGGACGCGGTCTCGGGTTGTATAACACATTTCGCAAGTCTAATCAAGAGCTTTGCGAAGATCACTCCATTTCTGTTTGAGGTTCTCGTAATTTTCGTGTATCTGCAGCAAGACGTTAGATTGGGACAGATCATATCAACAATCGCTGAAGGCTTACCTCAGCCCATTGCATCTTCGCCTCCACGAGCTCCCTCTCCATCTCTGCCATCTGCTCTGACAACGATCGATTTTCATTTTGAACTTCCATATTGCGCTTCATTATCCGGTCCATTTCTGTGCGAAGCTTCTCCTCAACCTCTGCGGGCTGCTTGTCCACAACAATCTTCAACTCGCTAACCTGAAGTTTCAGAGCATCATTGACGTCGGTGAGCTCCTCATTTTCCACCTTGAGGTGCACGAGTTCTGAAGCAAGCTGTACATGCTCTTTATCAGATGCCTCCGCTTGTTCTTCTAGGAGGCGTATCCGAGCACTTTGGTTGGCCACGGTGTTCCTGAGCCCTTCCAGTTCAGCTTCACGCTCTCGCTCCGTCCGCACTTTTTCTTCCCACTCCGCAGTGTAGGCGTTAATCGTTCCGGCGGCCAGATCAATCGCACAAGCGTCCTGCACCATAATATCCGCCCTATAGACCTCCTTGTCCGCTGCGCCAGAGCTGCCGAAGAACCCCGACTCAAGAATCGAAGATGGCGAAGGCTGCTTGTCAATGTAGACATCGAATAGGCGTTCTTTCAGGAAAGTAGTCAGTGGCGTCATGTCTTTCATTGTCAGTAGGGTCTCAGCATTGCGGCGCATGATTGCGATTGCAAACTTGAGAATGGTGCTCTGAAGTCCTTCTTCGAATATCAAATCATAGATTCGGAGAACAAGTTGTAGCGGGAAACGGTATGCGAAAAGGGTCAAAAACCATTGAGTCGCATAAAGTTGGGGATGAACACCTCGCCGGCGAAGGTGACAGTAAAGGGCTGGCTCCCAGTCCTCCAGCAGACGTTCGAAGACGTACAAATTGCGATGGAGACCAGGCATGTCATGAATAAACATCTTCCGGAGGCCATACTTGTTCATCAGCTTCACTAGCAGCGTGAAGGCCTCGGCCTCATCCATCTACCGGGACTTGTAGTTAGACAATACGATTCTCCAAGAGTGCAAGTTAGGGTTGAGTCCTTACGTTGAACAGGAGTGGCATGACAATAAAGTTCATCCCCTGCGCATATCCCACGGCCTCATCGTAGAGAGCGTAGGCTTTACACAGGCCAAACAGGCCTTCTTGGTTTCCTTGCGAGACAAAGTACCGAGAATAGCTGGTGCGTGCACCAAGATCGCGACGAATAGCCTTCTCCAGCTTTTGGAGCGCCACGGCATCTTCCTTCGCTTTCTTTTTGCGAGCTATCTCGTTAGCCGCTTGCTCTTTAGCCAGCTTCTCAGGATCAATCTCTTGGGAGGGGCTCGAAGAAGATCCGTGGTTCGAGTGCGCGGTTGAGTTCTCCGATCGCACAGACGCGCGAGACGAAGCTACTGACTCCGGTTCCCCTGTACCATTTGTGTATTGCTTTTCTTTATCCGTGCCGCGAGCAATTAGATCTCTGTAGACCTCTTCCAGCTCCGGATTTCTGCTGTCTGCCAGAATCTGCCAGATGACACCTCGAATGGTCTGGGGGATTCCTCGCTTGATTGCCGCATTAATCTCTTCTGAATTCGGCCCTTTGAGCGCCTGCGGACCATGGTTAACAAGTTGCTGCCACAGCTCCCAATCGACAGGTGCAGACGCATCGGTGGCAGAAGCAGATAACCCCGAGACCGTTCCCGGAAGCAGATTGGGATTGACCGTAGGTGGAACAGTGGGTGGCGATGCAAGAGGTGGAGCAGAGGCATGTTCTTCTTCTTCGGGTATACTGGGAGGACTTCCAGCAGAATGACTGATGCTTGCCCGTCCTGACGCGACACTTGCTCCGTCGTTCTCCGGAACCAGTCCTTCATCCCGCATCCTTAGTAACTTGAATTGGTCCTTTAGGCTGCTGCGCCTTGGCCTCCTGGCCGCTGAACCATCCAAATCTTCTCCGTCATGCTTGGTCAACTCGGAATTGCTCGAGAGAGTAGACACGGACGCGGCCGTGTTCCGCCGACTAGTTTGTGGTGGAGGCGACTTGACCTCGCGACTCGCCGTTGAGCTGCGGGAAAGCCAGGCGAATGGGCCGGTGAGTTTTCGGGTCATGGGAGGCGCTGGAGCTGGGACTGCTGGCGCCGGGGTCTTGTTCACGGGAGGTGATCCCCACGAGTTGGAAGGGAGGTTGCCAGATAGTCCCTGGAGGGGCATGCTTTGAGCGGAGGATGCTGAATTTCGGGAAGGTACAGGGGGAACGTCGGACATGGGCTCCTGGCCCAAATTGTGATTCTGCAGGGTAACGTCATCTAAATTGTTACTGGCAAGGTTCACCTCGTCAAGTGAAGTCGTCGATAGTCGGTGGGCCGTCAACAAGGGCGATTTTGGAGATTTGGTCCTGCGAGGCGTTTCATCCGTCCCGGACTGCTTTTCTGACCTGGCATCTTCCGTGTCTTCATCTTTCTTATCTTCGTTCTGAAAAACAGGTGGGAGAGATGGCGCATCGGTGAACTGAGGTGTTGCACCTGTTCCGCTCGGAGGGCTGTCTGTGAGAGAGCGTGTAGATGAGCTCTGAGGAATCGAGACGGTGAGGTTGGGGTTGCTGGTAGTCTGCACTTCAGAGGCGTCATCGAATGAGTCCTTATCAACATCATCGTCAGTCAATATTTTCCCAAGTAGGAACAAATGCCAGTAAAGACAACTCACCCCGTTGTACTCGGCACTGTTTCGTCCGGAAGACATGGTGTACTCGACCGCCTGGAGCCAGCTAGGCGGACGATTTCGATCTTAGAGAAAGCTCTTTAATGGTTTCTAAAGTATTTTGATTATGAAATAAGAGGTGCCGGGAGATCAGGGCAACAAAAGTCCATGATAGGGGAGGGAAGGGGGAGGCAAGCAGTGGGCGGAGGTGCGATAAGTCCGAAAAGGGAGCGGAGGTTGGATGGTCAGAACTCAGATGGATACAAAGCCACCAGGCAACTCTTGGTAGCTAAAGGGGGGGAAGGGTAACAAGTAAGACTGGCAGAAGGTCAAACCCAACTTCAAGAAATCCAATGTCTTGATGGTTGATTACCTTCTTACTCTTGATCTCTCCGCTCAATAATGGATCTAAGGTACCGTTATTTTGATGGGAGAGCCAAGACTGTTTCTGGCTAGTACCTTGGTGATTCGATTGGCAGGTCTCGACCTCGTTCTACGGTTGGGAGAGGCCGAGTTGGCTGGCCCACAGTTTCAGGTACGAGTTGTCCACTGTTCTTATTTTTAAGCTCTCATCATAATTACTCGACTGACTTTGATGGTCGTCTACGTGACTACGTCAATCTACAATCTGTTCGAGAGAGGATGTAGGTAACAGCTGTTGTGACCACTGAGACGCTCCCATCGTGTAACTGAAACGCTGTTGCCACTTGTTATTCTGAAACTGGCCCGATGTTAATTTCGAGATGAGTGTCACCCGCTCCACACTCGATCGGCGGAACTTCAAGAGACAATAACGTACAAGGTAGATAAATAATCTAGATTAAGCGGTTGGAGATTATCATGATATCGTTGTGGAATCTCCACTACACAAGCAACTCGTTCATACATTAGCACAGAGCGACTTCTCAAAATCTAGCCATCGTCCACATCTTAGCGGATCCAACTTCTTTAGTTCGGAAAGCCAGCTTAAAATGTTCTCCTTGTCGGCACTGGACATAGTCCCTCCCACTTTCCTCGCCAAAAGAGCACAGTCGATCAGCGCCTGGTATATGTATTTGCAATCCTCTGCCCCATCAAGCATGTCTTGAATTTCGTCGATCTCCTTGCGCAAATATTCTAACCGTTCATCATTACTGAGATTTGGCGCCATCGTCTGATCTGATAGTGAAGGATCAAAAGCACACATCAGGTTCTGGTGATAGAACCACAGTGACTGATCGTAAGGGTCGCACAGAGCACGGTGGATGAGATCCAGTTCTGCTATCCCTGTCAGCATCGTTCGAGCAGTAGACGCCTATTCAGATCGAAGGGAGAACTGACCATCATCAAGCATCTTCTTGCGTGTCTCGTCACTGGCGGACTGCTCGCTCAGCAGTCGCTGGATGAGCTTCGTGCGATAATGCCAGGCAGAGAAATTGGACAAATTCGTGCCTATCATCTTCTTCGCGTACTCAAATTCCCCCTGTGCCATGCTTCGCACTTCCTGGTCTTCTGGTGCAAGATTTTCCAGTGACTCTACGACAAATCGTCTATAACCCCAGCCGTGGAAGTTTCTGCTATCCAAGCTAAGCATCTTACCCACAAGGGCAAGCTCCTCTTGCCAGAATTTCAGAGCAACAGCTCGGGGAAGAAGACGCTTGGCTTCGTCAAGAAGCCACATGCGATAATTCCATATCCAGTAGCACTTGGGAAATTTCCGGAGGAGGGGTATCAGAAATTGCAGATCATTTTTGATCAGCGCTGCTATCTGTCCTGTTACGGCTTCCTCTGAGTCGTTTGATGATGCCAAATTGAACTCATGTTGCAGAACCCTCCGTCGATAGTTCCATACAGTATAGTATTCTGGGTTGCTGCTCAGTAATTCAGAGATCTTTTGCAGAGTTTCAGGTGTATAATCATGTCCAGCGATCTGGCAAGCTTCATCAGACTTTTGCCGTTTATTATGAGGTATGGATGAAGATAAACAGGAAATACGAACAGGAGTCTCAAATCCTACCTTGTCACGAACAAGCCGGTCAAGCGCTTGATATTTTTGAATTTTGCGAAGTTCCTGTTGGAGGGCCTCTTCGGATCGCTCTCCCAACGAGCTGTAGCGGGGAATTCCATGCTACCGAACCAAAAGTTAGTCCAAATGTGTACATATTACATTTGGTCAGATCGTTGAAAAATACACCAGCCATATTGAAGTAATGGTCACATCAGCATATGCAGGTCGTTCCGGTCTTTTCCAGCGAAACACTTCCTTCGGGGATTGACAAGTATGATGAAGCAGGAGTAACGCTTGCCTAAACAGAAGCTGCCTTCCAGATTCAGAAAGGTCACGTGTGGTGCCCTCATAGAAGGACAACCTACACAACCAACTCCATACATTGCCTATACTTTCTCGCATCTGACAATGTCGGGCCCTGTTATGATTCAACAATGTACTGGTCATCAATAACCTTTACTTACGGCCCCGTGTTTTGCTAGCGGCACGATATTTCATTCCTTTTCCACTTTCCATAGCGCTTATCAGCCCACATAGTATATATATTTTGTCTCTCGAGCGCGTTACAGAATGACCAATTCGACATGTCGCTCTTCAAAAAGCTCAGAAGTCTCTGCAGCAAGCAGCTTCTTGCATGATACACGATCGACTACCCAAGAACGCGAGTCCATGCGATTAGTCGACTCTGCTATCATTCCTTTGCCTCTATCTGACACATCAAGTGAATCTTCGGACGAAGTACAATCTCTTTTGCCTTCCTTCGAGAAGCTCTCCATTGGCTCGTTTGCTTCTGAAAGTTCATCCATGAAGAACCGCACGCAGCAGATCCCCAGTAGCACAGACGATTTTGGAGCTACGACGCATCTGTCCACAGTCAGAGAGACCGCTATTGAGAGAGGTCGCGGAAGATATAGGCGGACTTTCAATGGTGTTGTAATGGCAAAAGGCTCTAGGAGTCCAAAATCTCCAGACAGATTCATCCCTTTGAGAGAATTCATTGATCCTTTGTCCACACCGTTGCGAGTGGGAAAGCCTACGCAGAGCCTGACCCCTGAAGAAAAGCTCCTGCGACAACGCACACCGAAGTCAGATCCCTTTATGCCTGAGCGGCCACGCAGATCTGCAAGTGTCCCGAGGGTACAATCCGGGCGTACCTTCAGCCCTCACTATATTCCCCACCTCATCACCGGCTCAGCTATCAGGAGTGGCAATGAGTTTGGACCACGGGACCCTCTCAGACAGGTCAGCGCTGGGGCCGTATGGAGCGTCGGTGGAACGTCTGCCATGCTAGGTAGACAATTTACAGGGATACCTGGTGACACGAGAGGTCGTCTTGCGAGTCGAGCGACCGCTCCAGTGCATACGGCCAAATTTTTCTCTCAGGCTGCGTCGTCTGAAGAGCCAGGAAAGCACGAGTCGAGAGTAGCTCTTGCTTTGAATATTGACCCGATAGTCAAGATACTGAAGTGCAGGCTATTGCCTCTGCTCGAGTCCAAGCCGAGTCCGTCTCGCCCTGATTACGAACGTTTCTCTCCGTTAACATGGAAAGACAGTGCCTGGAAAAGGGGTGAGGCAGATCAATGTAAGTGAAAGAATTTGCTTTCTTCCTTAAGTGAAACTTCAACGTTGAATGACGCAAAATCTCAATGATGGGAGCTATCATTCCAAAATCTATGAAATCGTGTTAGCTTACAGGACAATGCTTGATGCCACCACCCCTTTGGCACAAAAAGATACTTGTGTTTGTCCGGGTCACTCACATATCAAAGACTTTCAATGGCATATATACCACAAAATTGTTCTTTGTAGAATTCTTCGATGAGATTTGTACAACGTGGAGTATCGGCTCCAAACCATCTTCGGATGTGCTGACATTTGTGCATGACAGGGGCGTCGACGGATGCACGAGAGGACGCTGAGAGCATCGTACCAGCACGCCCATTCCGGATCCTGGACGCCCCTTATCTTCGCGATGACTACTATTGCACAACGCTCGCGTATTCACCTACCTCTGGAGTTCTCGCCGTTGGTCTTGCCCATCGCGTGTATGTTTGGTCGGAGATTTTTGGCGTGCTGTATCCCCCGTTCGTGGACCATCACCCCTCAAATTTCGTAATCTCTCTATCTTTCTCGTCCGAGAGCGGAGGCAAAGACATCCTGGCCGTCGGTAGGCGAAGCGGACTGGTCACCCTCTGGAGTGCTCCTGAAGCCGAGCCACGCTATGAAATTAATCATCCCAACAGTATCACTTCGGTGGCGTTCAGGCAAACAGTGACGCGCAGGTTCTCTGAGCGATTCCACAACGTTGAAGTCAATACAGAGGACCTTGCTGTCGGCGATGAACTTGGCAACATATGGTACTACTCAGTAGAATGGCCCAGTGAGGAGATTCGAGAGCAGTTTGTATGGAACGGTGCTATCACCCTACTTGCCAGAATTTCCGCACATACTCAGAGGATTTGTGGTATAACCTGGTCTCCAGATGGTGCGTACTTGGCCACTGGAGGAAATGATAACGCTTGTCTAATCTTCGAGCTCCGTGACTTCATGCCCTGGCGACAGCTCAACCGTACAATGAAGCCTTGTAAATCAGCTCAAACTTGCCAGTCGATAAGCGTGCAATGTCAGAATGCATTCTCTTGTCTTTCTACGACCACAAGCAAGCGACTATTCAGGCGGCGTGACTTTCTCAATTTGCTTCCTTCGTGGTCTCACTTTCGCCTCGGTTCTTCGCAAGCATCACTCCTTAAACACACCGAGTCGCTCGCCTTGGGGACTGAGAGAACGGTAACGATACCCCCAAATAGGCAGAAGCATATATTGGCGCATGCGGCAGCCGTAAAGGCAATTGCCTTTGCGCCATGGCAACCGTCTCTCCTTGCCACCGGAGGCGGCTCGAACGACCGAGCCATTCATTTCTGGCACGCTCCGTCTGGGGCGTGCCTGGCGACCATCAATGTGTACGCGCAAGTGACCAGCCTTATTTGGAGCAAACGACGAAGGGAGATTGTCGCCACTTTTGGGTTCGCACAGCCAGAGCACCCGTACAGGATCGCTGTTTTTGCGTGGCCGAGCTGCGAGCAGATTGCTGCAATCCCCTGGGGTCCGTATGGCACTAGTTGGGATGGGATAAGCAACGCTGGCGCAGTTCATTGTGGGCGCGCTATCTGCGCTGTGAGTTATCCGGGAAAGTCACATGTCCTTATGCAGGATCTTCTCGATCGTGCGACCAGCATCTCGTCTTCAGCGTCCACGGTCCAGCGCAGGCGAGCGCAAAGCGAACCGTACCGCCGTACGTCGCACCCTATTCAATTACGACCAAGCGCAAAAGAAGGAGGCTTATGGTGTCCTCGCACGCTGGATGAGGGATGCATTATCGTTGCGTCAAGTGACCAGACTGTCAAATTTCACGAGGTGTGGAGCGGGCCAAAGAAAAGTACGGCGGCAGCTTGCGGTCCTTTCGGAGGAAGCCAGATTCTTGAAGGACTTGAAGGGCTAGAGAAGCTCGGGGACGAAATCATCCGATAGTTGGGATCTTTCTCATGTGGGAATGGCCCCTGTGTTCCAGTTCTGGTGCGATATAAATTCATATCCACGAAGGCAGAGGACAGTGATGGAAAAGTTGTTCATAGACCAGAGAAGAGTAAATATTTTTAATGTATTCTTACGTATTTCTATTCAATGTCCATTGGCCATAGTCTCCTATCCTCGCCGGTGCTTATCGAGTCCAGAACCAGACCAATTATGTGGTTCGTTTCCAAACGACCTTGGAATGGTCGATCATCTGATAGTGTCGACCATGTTGTCTTTGCCCTGTGCACCAGTCGGCAACTGTTGAACACAGTATTAGTCTCGTCTGTGGGCGATCATTGGGTCTTGTCAACCTTTGCAAGGATTGACTGGGCATGCATGCCTCATCGCGCGTCCTCCTACTGGCTCAATAATCAGCCAGCATGGATCGACATTCCGCAGAGATCAAATAGCGCAATTCAAGTAGAAGACTTGTCTGGTTTGGTTGAGATTGATGGAAAGTGATACTCAGAAGCTTAGGCTTGCGAATTACAGCCTACAATCAACTTACTCACGCAGCCTGTCGCAATCATGATGTCCTTCTTGCAGGTTGTGGCATCCATTCTCCCAGGTGCCATTGCGACCACAGCCGTGACATCTATGCCTACCACCCTCAACATCACAGTCATCGGCGCCCGAAACAACCAGTCGACCCTGGAATGCTGGTCACTCGAACCGGGTTTCTCTTCATCAACTCAGCCAGGTATTACAGGCAGCGCTACGCTTTCCCTAGGACCTGTAGGAGACAACGCGACCTACAGTATTGTTCCTGCTCAATTAGATGGTGGGATACACAATGCCCCCACGAGACAGTATGTATCATTTCCAGCCTATCCTACTCATGTCCTCCACAAAAGCCATATAGGAACGGAGCGTTGCTGATTAGAGGAAAGATGGGTGGTTTTCCTCTCTGGACTGGCACATGTCACTTTGCCCCATTCAGATGACGAGGCCTGGATACTGGGGGGCAAGCATGGGATGATTCTGGCGTTGGATACGGCGGATGTTAGTGCGGATGGGCATTATACGGAGTATCCAAGTGATGAAGCGACGGTCGCAATGACTGTGCCTTTGAAGGATGAAGACGAGGAACCAGCGCATCGAGTGTTGTATCAGGGTGCTTGTAAAGCGACGGAGGTTGATTTGTGAGGGTTGGTTGGTTGCGATCACCAGGAAAGAGAGTATATATTTATCATTCGCACCGTGCAGATCAGTCATATTGGCTGAGGGGGTCGTGATCGGATGGTCGAGAAGTCGTATGAGTCTCATATCCAATATGTCTAGGGCCAGAAAAAATCTTGAGATTAAGTGCAGCATATACAATAATCTAGGTAGTAACTAAATGTATACAGCGAACGGTGTGCCCTTCCACCTTCTAATGCAAACACAGTTGGCGGCCCCAACCCAGAAAAATGAAAGTCTCTTTTACTTTTGTTCAAAAAAAAAAAATATCCATCCACATAGCAACAGGTCACAGAAAATTGAGAAACAAGGACCAGACATGAGAGCCCAAAGCGGAAGAATCAGGGTATTATCTATCTCCTTCCCGACTTCTTCTCTTTTCCTCCACTACCGCCAAACTTGGCTTTCTTGGATGGCGGGGGTTGCGCAGAGAGTCCATCGTCATCCGACTCGTCGTCTTCGGTGTCGGCAATGAAGTCTGCCATCGAGCCTGCACTTTCCGCATCATCATCTTCCTCCTCGTCCTCGTCCTCCAAAGATTCCTCAGCATCAGAAGAACCAACAGACTCTTCCGCCTCAACGTCGAACACGTCTTCCTCGTTCTCATCCTCCTCATCGCTGCCTTCATCCTCTTCATCATCTGACTCGTCACGACCGGACTGCTCACCGTCAATCATGGACTCGTCCTCGTCGTAGGTCTGATCGCGTATCGACTTGGTCCGCGGCGTTACTGCGTTCTTCGCGGTGTCGGCATCGCTATCCTCATCCTCCAACTCTTCCTGGCCTTCGACGTAAATGATGTTGTCCTCATCCTCACTGTCCATGCCCTCGGCTCCGCCGCGGAGGGACTGTCTAAGTCCCAGCTGCGCATGCAACATGTCAAGTTTTCCCTTGAGCAACAGCAAGGAAGACAGACTCGAGGAGCGCTGGTCCATAACCTTGAACAGGGTAGACATCCGCTTTAGCAGTTCTGGCTTGCCGGCGAGAGCGCCACCATGAGCAACACACGTCCACTGTACCCACACGAGAAGGTGTCCGTACCGACCCGGGCGAGACGAGAGACGCTCGGCCAGCTTCTGGAGCAGAGTGGCAGCGAGCGACGAGTCGAGACGTTGAATGGTTTCACGGACAATGGTAAGATCACCCGTATGGAAGCATGATTCGAGCATCCCATTGTCGTTCGTCTTGAGCGACTGCGTAAGGACCGTAGACAACGTGACGCCAGAGGTGATCTGCTGCACCGCTGCGCTGGGTTTTCCAGGTACGAGAGATCCAATACGGACGTCGTCCTCAAGTTCGGCTTCCACATCAATTTCTTCCGAAGCATTGGCCCGCAAAAGCTCGCCAAAGGATGGCTCTCCCGTTTCGTCCTCTTCCGCATCCTCTTCATCTCCGGCTTCTGATCGCATCTCAACGTCACTATCCGCATCCTTCTTCTGCTTCCGCTGCCGAGTTTCCTTCTTCTCAACCGGCTTCTTCGAATCATCGTCGTCGTCCTCCGAATCCTCCTCACTGTCGGCCACTGTTGCATCCGCCCTGGTGTCTTGCATCTCGACATCGTCCTCCACGAGGTCCCCTTGCTCGACCACTGCTCGAGATTCATCGACTTGCGTTTCACCTGCGGCTCGAATTCCATTCGTTGTTACGGAGGCAAGAACCGAGCTAGACTTGGTCTTGACAATCTTCTTCAGCCCAGTGAAAGCTAGCTCCTCAGTATCTATATCAATACAGTTGATGCGCTCAAAGACCGGTATAATGCCTCCTTCGGCCCAAACAATTAGAATATCAGTTCCTTGGAAAGTTGCTGCGACGACAGGTACGGAGGCATCCGAAGTCTCAGACTGAGTGATCTTGATTGATGACTCCGCCCGCCTCGTGAGCTGCCTTCCCCTAGCTTTGAGACTGGTCTTGGAGCTCTGATCCTTTGGCGGCACGAGTGGTTTTGTGAAAAGTTCAATAGTGCCATCTTCGGTCACAGCTGCGAGGATTTGCTTCTCCATCGCCAGAGCGTCATCTGGTCCTTGTCCTGAACCCGAAGTCAACGCCAATGATGATACTTCTGTATCTGCAACGAGGTTCAACACAAGCTTGCGACCCTCAACGTCAAAGACATTGATGTAGCGATCGCCATCAGAGGCAAGAAAGACAGCTGTCGTGAGGGATTCCGTGGAGGAGGTGATAATTTCCCGAATCTGGTTCCGCATCGCTGGGAATGATGCTGTCGATTCATCTCCCTCAACGTCGATCAGGTAGGGCGTTTGAGAGGCGCAAACGACGGGCGGGTTGGAGGGCACGGGGCGAGAAAGGGTGCTATAACCTGTGGATGCTGGTAAATGGATTGTTCTATAAAACACTGTCAGTTGGATTTATATTGAGGCATCAATTAGTTGAAGAAACCAACCTGGTACTCTTTCCGGTGCGCAGATCCCATTGCACTAGTTTGTTATCACCACCAATACTCCAACCTTCCTGACCCGGTCGGTTCGCAGTGAACTTGAAATCCACAACACCTTTGTCATGTACACCCCCGAGTGCCCCCACAATCTTGTCTTCGATAGGCGAGTACATGCGGATTTCGGAGGCGTTTGTACCAAAAGCAACAACTACATCCCCTTGCTCAAATCCACTGCTAGCACCATTGATGTCAGAATGGCGCTTCCGCTTCTTCTTCCCTTGCTGATCACGATCTCTTTGTCTGAGAGGGAAGTAGCCCCAATCTAGAGACGTGACAGTCTCCTTGGGACCTAGGACATGTTCGCATTGTAATCGGCCCGTATTTGTGTCGTGAATTCGGAGGTGCTGAGCATCGAGACCCTGAATAACAGAGGCAAAAAGCGCCAATTGATACTCAGAGGGTGCAAACGACGCTTTCAGTATCGAAGACTTATTCCCGGTGTATGTGAGGCCGGACACTGCGGGCGACGCAGCGGACGAAGTCTTCGAAACGGGAGGGCGAGGAGCCTTTTTGCCCATTTTTACGGATAAAGGTGACTCAAGACAGACGCCGAGAAGTATGAGGATCAATGCAGACCTGAATGTTTTGACCTTGTCGAGCTGCCAGCGGTCGCCGTATCTGGGCAGTGTTACTGAGAAGGAAAAAAAAGTTCTGTAGAGGTTATATTGCGCTAGTCCGTAAACGGTCTAGTGTCTGTGAAGTTCCGCGATCAAATGTCTTATCTAATCCGCTACTGTCCGCTTTTGCAAGCTTTCTATGGAGTAAATACTGCTCAAGGGTTTCAAAAATTCAGTCAGCACGAGTATGAATAGTGCTATTTATGTCGCCTTGCCAGATGATTTCTGGATCGTCGCAGCAGAAGAAATGGCTGTGGATTGTCATCTGCCTAGGCTTCAAACATGAATACCTTTCGCTACTTGAAAGTTTCAGTCACGCTTGTCCCCCAAAAAATTTAAGACCGCGCCCGTGAGGAAAGAGAATTCATTGTCTCCTTCACTTCTTTCATTTCATTTCATGTCACAGTGAGGGCTCATGGCATTTTTTGGCAGGTTTCTGTTGACCTCGACATCAAACAACAGCATCAGACCACCAGTGCTAATTGACTCCTCCTGAATCAGTTCGACTATGCTGAGCAGGTTAATGCAGTCGGCCTACTAATCACCAATTATGACGGACCTTTCTGAGCAGGAAGCTGTATGTTTCCAACCACCCTGTGTCAAGCCACCCTGATAAACAAGCGTTCAGTCAAAGTCAGGGAGGCAGCTCAGACACGGTCATCTCCAGATTTCAATTACGGTACAATGTGCTCTTCAGGATAGGTTCTTCGCTGGATGTTGATTGTCAAGGCTGCGGCAGCGACACAAGTACTCTCGGCTGCATTTTGATACGGAGCTATGGACTCTTGCTGTTCAGAAGTAGGTGTGTTGAGTCAAATCGTCATTTAGTATGCCTACATTGAGACATACAATCTGGGTCTACTACGCTACTTACCTCTGTCATGGTCAGCTATGTTCATATGAGCGACTGCCAGAACAAGAAAAGGGCCTTGGGCGACTCTTGTTTACCTTGCGCAATTTGTGGTACCTCTTGGCACCAGGCAGTCTTGCATCATTATGTGACACGCTAGGCCTGATACGAGCTACAAGCCTACAACGCAAGGGGTAGGAAGGAAGGCTGGCTCAGGGCTCAACCCTGACTTCCATAATCAGAAGGCGGCCAGCACATGGGTCTTTTCCCTGAGTAAGCCTCAGCACAACTCTTTCAAAAACCAAGGATTTTTGTGATGCTACTCTTCCTGAATGTGAATGCCTAACAGGTTTGGGTATGTCATATCTAACCTCCCAGTTGACTAGTTTCACCTCAAATTCATCCATTATCTCACAGACCTGAAATAGCTTTGTCTGCAGTCGCCTCACTCCATTACAGCCAGGTCAACTTTTGCTCTGACTTCTTGTACAGCTTGTTTTGATCTATTCGACCCGAAAATTTTGTGATCATTTTATGAGTGTCTTTTTTGGAAGAAGGATGATGGTTCCGACAGAAAAACTTCTGGTACAAAGGCCCCACACTAGAATAAGCCACAACCAATAATATATCATATCTCGTAGAACGCGTCATCGCGCAACCAATCAGCGATTGCTAAATGGCTTGAACTAGAATGATTGGGATTAGCGCCACAGATGGGGCTAGCGGCAGAGGACGGACGAGCGCGACGCGGCCGTTCGTACTTAAGGATTCTAGCACCCTCCTCGGATTTTCTCAGTCTCTGTTTCTGGAGCTGAGCTGAGAGCTGCGTTGCACCCGCGCCTGGTCACGCCTGGCCCTTCCTATTCACCTTGACCCTTATCTGTTACCCCGTCTGCCTGCTGAGTGCTGACCGCCTTTATTTATTAATATTCCATCTTATTTTCTCCGTATCCTCGGTTACCGCCCTCACATTCATCAAGTTACTACCTCTTATCATCACAACGCGTATTTCGCGACGCGCTCTCACATCATAATCCCAGTCGCA